GGTCAATATCGGTATCGGTCAATATCGGTATCGGACATTTCTCAAAGTTGTAATATCGGTATCGTATCGGAAGTGAAAAAGTGGTATCGGGACATCCCTAATAAAAAGTCCAAGATTAAAATTATTATAAAAAGTGTCAAACATTAATTTCCAATTATTCTCCCAGCATCCTTTGCAGCTGTGAAGGTGCTTCTGTCACAGAGTGAATTTCCTGAGTTTGTTGCAAAATAGAAAACAGTGAAACAAGGGCAYACACCTTTGCTTTACTTTGGGACCTACAAATATTTGTCTTTTAGTTTTAATAATGTTTTAAACATAAAAAAAACTATATCAGCAGAAACACAAACTGAATGGTTTAGTCAACAAAAAAAGTCTCCACCTAGATGTAACTAAGGTCTATGATGTGGGGCTGCTGTAGTTGTTCAGGTATGTTCAGCAACAGTTTGTGCTCAAAGAATGAGGTCAGATCATCTGAATATACTGAATGACCAGGTTCTTCCATCMATGGATTGTTTCTTCCCTGATGGCAYGGCCATATTCCAAGATGACAGTGCCAGGATTCATGGGGCTCTTATTGTGAARGAGTGGTTCAGGGAGCATGAGATTYATTTTCACACATGGATTGGCTCCACAGAGTCCATGGAGAATCTCTGGGATGTAATGGAGAAGGCTTTGTGCAGCGGTCAGACTCTACCATCATCAATGAAAGATCTTGGTGAAAAAACTAATGCAACACTGGATGGAAATGAATCTTGTGACATCGCAGCGAATGTGTGCTGTAATCAAAGCTAAACGAGGTCCAACCAAATATTAGAGTGCGTGAGCATTTTTTTTTTTTATGGCAATGTTCTTTTAAGCCATGCAGTTTACACACTAGTTTGGCTCGTCAAATCACTAAAAGAACAGTTGTCATCTGTTTTCACATTTATCAAATTCTTTTTTTCCCTTATCTATCTCCTTTATTACACTCATATAAGGGGTATCTCTGAAACATTTCTTCTAAGTCAGTCCAAAATTAGAGAAGATTAAGCATTTCTACTTTTTTTAAGTTTTTGGCTCGAATAGCACACAAATCAGCAAATTAAGAGGATGATGGTTTTATGACATGTGACACCATTCAGGATATAATAGCACAAAGCACCTCTTACTTAACCTCAGTCTTTACAGTAGGTGTCGCTGCTCTGAGCCTGTTCTCACTCATGTTTAGACCCGTTAGGCCTCACTGGTATGAGCTGCAATCCTCCAGGTTGCTCTATTTAAGAGATGCCATGAGATTTATTTTAGAACTTTGTAGAATAGCTTTCTATTTTTTTGCATCTTAGTTTAGATTAGTTTAATTCATTTATTAATTTCATTTAAAAATAAAATATATTTACACAACAAATAAGAACATTGAGCCTCATGCAAGAACATGTTCGTATTCTTATCCTAAATTTCTCTTACTTTTGTTCGTACGAAGGGTTCGTATGAACATGTCACGTCAGATTCAACAAACTCTTCTATCTTCAGGAAAAGTGTGTAAATGAATTCCACCTGTTCTATCCAGCTGCTCGTGCACGAGGAGAGGTTATTTACATAATTTCCACCCCAAAAACACCATATAAG